CCTCGTGTCTTAGTCCCGCCCACAGGAGATGCGAGTGGAGGACTCGAGGAGGGGAAGCAGCAGGCGGTTAGAGAAATGAGAACTCCTCTCCTCTGAGCGGTCATATTAAAGAGACGTCCATTAATGATGACAGGAGGCACAGCAGCCCTCTGTCTGATGGACAGATGTGTTCATGACGACTTATATATTTACTTTTCATTCATTGACAGTGCGGTATAATGAGACAATAACAGGCTACAGATGCGGACACACACACACACAAATATATTTATATAAATATATACAATTTAAAGTATGAGACACTCTTAATAACGTAACACAATCAGAGACTGGATATATCCCCCCCTCTCTCTGGTCACTGAAATGGGGAATTTAAATTACGGGCCAAAAGTTGTATTTACAAGTATTAAAAGTAAGACCCGTCTGTCCGCCGCATCTCCGCACTGTACAACACACACCTACACACTGTACAACACACACACCTACACACTGTACCACACACACGCTCCTAAAGCATAATCAGGCTACAGCCGTTGTGTATTTTAGTATGTGAAGCACTAAATGGTCTTCGAAAAATATCGACTCTTTGTTTGTATATATCTACTAAACTAAAGCATACAAATACAGAGAGTAATGTAGGCCTATACACTGCTCTGCTTTCTGCACGGACCTCACAGCTGTTCACTGTAAACATCGTGTCGCCGTTCAAGCAGTTATTAAAATAATATCCAGGGGATGCATGCAGAGCTGTCATTGGCTGAGATAAATCCGGCCATGCGTCAAGCCTCCACCGTTCCCGGAAATGCCTCCGTCGAGGACCCATCAGTGTCTCCTCGGTTAGAGCTCCTCCAGAGAGCCTCCTCGATGCTCGGTCCTCGATGTGCATTTAGAGAAATGAGATGTCCTTCAACATGGCGCGCTGAAATCCATTTCCGGATCACAACCGGAGGACAGAGGAGTTGAGGAGGGGAAATTAGAGTATTGAGAAACCTCTACTGTAAACATTGCGTCGCGATGAAAGCAGTTACTAAAATAATATCCAGGGGATGCATGCAGAGCTGTCATTGGCTGAGATAAGTCCGGCCGTGCGTCAAGCCTCCACCGTTCCCGGAAATGCATCCGCGGAGGAGCCGTGGAGGATGCATCAGTGTATCCTCGATCATAGCTCCTCCAGAGAGCCTACTCGATTCATTTCCGGGTCACTACCGGAGGACTGAGGAGTCGAGGAGGGGACATTTAAGAATTGAGAAGCCTCTATAGGCTGAAGTCGAATAGTCCATTTAGCTTAGGAATCTTCCTAACGGAGTGAAATGAACCGGAATTCCCTCAGTGACAGCCATGATAAGTGCCGTTCAAATTCTCTAGAATAGGAAAGGAGGTTTCAAACTTCCTTTATAACCTCCTTTAGCTTAGGAACCACTGGACCTCCCTCACCGAAAGGAGAGGAGAAAATGCTGCCCCACAATGCCTTGCAGCCGCAGCATTTGCCGTCACTCAACAGTCGGCCGTTCACGGAAACAACCGATTATGACCGAGAAATTATATCATGAAAGTTACGGTGCTTATTAAGCATTTTAAAACGTATGTGGTAAGTTGCCAAAGTGCTTTGTTTTGAACGTTCATCAGTATTATAATCAAAAAGGGAAATATGAACGTTACTTTTTACTGAAATGATCACTGAGCTGTGTGGGGGTTGTTCAACTTTTAAAAAGAAGTTTGAATGGTGATATAAACACAGTGATAGATGTTAGGGACTAACGTTTATAATAAATACATTTGTATTTATTTTAAGATCTTTTCATACAATCATACGTATTGGGATCATTTGTATTAATGTGGACCGGAGGGAGAGGGTGATGAGCATAAGTTTCACTTTCCTTTTTTATTTCAATTCCAACTTTGGTCATGAAGAATATGTTTCTCTGTTGTCCACGTTCATAAAGCATAAAGCAACAGCATCAGAGCACGGTGCAGAGTCTCTAGATGAGTTTACAGTAGTCCCTCGTTCTTATTATACATCCAAATTGTAGTCCGCCGTATAGAAAACTGTAGTTTCCATAGTTTCCCCACAGCAGCAGACGCACATTTATGATGTCCGCTGGCGCATCATAAACACGTCGGATAGTGAAAGTGCAGTCGGATTCTCTAAAGGCCCGGACACACCAATCTGACAACAAAGAACTGACACAGACGGACCCCGACTGTTGCGTCGCCTCGCGTCTCTGCGTTTTGGCCATGTGTCGCCAGTGGCGTTTTCTCCCGGAGGCCAAGGGAAGCCAGGCTTCCCCTGTTTTTTCGGATTGTAGTTAGAATTTAAATAAATAAATAAAAACACTTTGTTTTGTTTCGATAATTCTCCTTTA